CTGTCGCACTCTATCTCTCGCCTGTGTTCTGAAGGGAGGGGTAGCCTATCCTTTTTTTGCGAATAATTTCGAATATGCATGGAATAGAGAGAACTGTACAGGATGAAGAGATTGTGATAATGATGATAGTGACGTAACTGCAAAAACCGTTCGTGGAGTTTCAAAAACAAATAGAATTACGAAGGCTAAAGAGGTGAAGAAAGACGAAAGTTGCATTTTCTGATGTAATGAGGTAACAATGGGGGAAGGTGTAAATGCGAGTCGATTGCTGTAATTATCCTACTGTAGAGGAGTGTAAAAATAGAAGAATTCGGCGAAAGTCTAGGTTTCTCTTCTTCCCTAATTTTTTTGTGTTACAATTTCTCAATTCCTCATGTCCAATTTTTCTCTGAGATTCCCATCTCCTCGGAATTCCTCCTAGTGTTTTGACTTTGTCATTTTCCGGATATTTATCGAAATGTCACATGGTTGGAATGGAAGACTTAGAAACTTGCTTTTCATATCTACAGGGCGGCTTTGATGAAACATCACAGACAAGCGGAGATAAACTGAAGATCAAAATTGACGATTTCGTTCTATGTATAGTCCTCCTTATCAATTTATCAACACAGTGCATTTCAGGTTCGGGGTTCAGGGTTTCGCATCAAACTAGACATTCCAACAAAACTTTTTTCTAGAAAGTCCTCTTACTTTTAATATCCCACACCAACTTGCTCTTGCATCCCCACCATCCTATTTATTTTATCAATTCACCGTTTCTCTCTGTGAGTACTCATAAGTTTGTTCAACAGATCAGCGAAATCTTCCGTTCTCCTCCTCCACNTACTCCCGTAGACGGGTCTTTTTTTCGGGAGCTCAGTGACACTCTCAAAACAGGATTGTTTTCGATTATTCATCAGTCATCATCGGGTTGTCGTCAATTGATGGTGATTTGAGTTGAATACAAAATGAAATCCGACTTCAATTTTTTTCCATTTGTAGGGTTATTTNTGAATGTCCNTTCCCCATTAAAAAGTAGTATTCACATCTATTGAGTCGTGTAGGATCCAAAAAAATGTTGTATTCTGAGTGCTTTCATGCTTAAGTTACACTTCCGGTCATACGGTGGACCATATGGAGGTTCAATTAGGTTGGTTAGCACCCATTCTACCATTAGAACACACTTCTCGATATAACTTTTTTTTAAAAACTTTTTTTGAGGGGGGAGGAGGGAAATTTCAATGCAAACACAGATTCCAAAGTTATTTGCATCATTTTAAATTGTGTGCATTTTGAACGCTGGCATCCAGATGCTTGCTTCCGGTCATACGGTGGACCAAATGGAGGTTCCTTCATGGTGGCCAGCGTTCACTCTAGCCACTCCAAAATTTTCAACTTTTCTTGGATTCTGAAAAGGATTGCGAAATCAAAAAGTGTGTTTCAAAAAGATTCAAGCTTTAAAAATGGGCTAAGATACAGAAGAGACCCTTGCTTCCGGTCATACGGTGGACCAAATGGAAGTTGGTCATCAAGCTTCCGTCTCTTTTCACCATTAGCAGCTGAAATTTTTTGGAATATTCTGATTGACTAGTTTTTCCTTACCGTTAGCGAGAATTTTTCTGGACCCCTGGTACATTTCTTAGTCTAAGTCACTGATTTAGCTTTTCACCTTTTTCTGTACTTTAATTCGCCTTGCTTAGGTTTTGTAAATTTGACAGGACTCAATGGGGTCCACCTGCTCCAATTGTTTCACAATATCTTGACAATGAGCAAGTGAACTGCTTCTGAATCCCTTATTACCTGCCCCTATCTTTGCTTTCGTGTCAAAATTGTCCGAAAATGTACAAAAAAATTGACAAAATGCCCCCGCACCCGAAAAAATGTCTCAGGCAGTTGATCTGCACAAAAAAATCACAAATAATGTTCTCAATCTCTTTTTTCCCCGTCCCATTTCTTTTGTTTCCCAGTCAGTATGACACCAACTAATTTATCGGTTAATTTCCCTAAAATGCTTTGTTTTGTTTTATTTTTTGATTTTCTCCTATCAATTGTACCAGTCTTGTCTAATTTTGTTTGTATATTTTTACTGGTTTGTATTTTAAAATTGAGGATATAGAAAAGAGGAAAAAAACAAAAAAAAATGTTCCCAACAAAAAAAACGAGTAAATAAATCAATTTTCAATTTTATCCGAACTGTTTTTTATGTGTTCGAAAGCGCAGAAAGCGCAAAAAATGCTACAAAAGCTTTGTACACGATTCAGGACAGAATTAGAATAACAATAGTTCTATCGCCTAAATGATGTATATCCAATTGATCTCCGCAATCGTCGTCGTTGTTGTTTATCCATGACTTTCTAGTTTTCTTCTTCCATCCTATCTTTTTGGTGTTTGAGGTTTTGCTTGAAACCCGTCAGATTACCTCGCCCGCACCGATAATGCATTATCGGTGTGATTCGTGGAAGGTTCAAGAGCAAATAGTAAACTTTGTTGACTCTCCCGTCTAGCATGCGCCATAAGATGAATCTATAAGCCTAATCATATAATATTTTAGGATCAGTCACTTTCTAGGTTAATCCTCCAGAGAAGAAACAAAATTTTTCAAAAATCCTTTGAAATCCTTCTTCTGACGGCCTTCAAAAAAGCTTAAAAGCCTTCACACTAAGAACATGCGTCTTTTCTAATCCTCCATGTGTTCGCAATCCTACCTAAATGAATCCGTTTTTATGAATGAAACCAGAACCAATGCTGCAACGTAATTCGGAATTCGTACCAGCCGCCACCATTTTTATTAGTCCGACCCAGAGAGAGAGAAAGAGAGAGAGTGTGTAATCCATTCAAATTGCGTCATTACCCATCACACATTCGATGCGGTGTTTTCAATTTTTTTGTTCTCGTCAACTTTGATTTCTCCGACTCTCTATACCTCTCGATCTATCTTACTCTCCTTTCCGACCCGATCGCTTTTCTTTTCTCCCTCGCGATCGATTCCGACGGGCATCGACGATATTTCCGTGACAAAAGAGAGAAGAGACAAGACGAAACGTTTCGCATCACCTCCGCTGTTTCATAGTGAATGGAAATGTTGCCTATGGTATCTCTCACCCATCTAGATTGTTTCCAAAAATGACGAAAAATCAGTTTTAAAAAACTGTGTTGTTTGAAAAATGAAACAAAAGTAGGGGAGGTAAGATGCCGGAGGCCGTTTACAAGACCAGTTTGATGATCTGCCATCGTCATTCCGTTTGCCTCATGATGTTTCAAATTGGATGGTCTTCCATTCACACATACACAACACAACAGACCGCAACATTACGGTACCTGATCACCACATTCTTTTCATTCACTTTCTAATTTGTTTCCAACGCCTAGGTGTGGCGAGGGGTGAAAGTTTGCTGGGAGAATAACTGGGTTTATCTTTTGTATCTCTTTCTGGATTATCATCTATTCCATTTTGTAGTTTTCTTACATTCGGGGAACAGGTGATTTCGTTTTTGAAATAAAGGAGGGTTTTTTGAGGAACTCCAGATCAGGTGTCAGTCATGGAAAATTATGACAAATTAGCACAACTGCATAATAATTAGATCTTATTATGTTCTTGGAATCTCAAGTTTTATCGGGGCTTTGAATTATGTTGAAAAACTAAAAAAAATCCACCATTGGAACCTGAAAGTTGATCTCTCTAAAACCCATTCTTTTTTTCTCGATGATCATCTCTTCCTAGTTACTCCAACTGGTAGTAAAAGTTTATTTACTCTAGGATTGATCCACAATCGAAATGTGATCGAATCGTAAAGAATCTGGTCACAAGATTACCTCCTCCTACACGTAAACAAAATTCTGATGATTTTGGGGCCTCGTCGTGTGATCGATAACAAGAAGAGATCAGGCACGTGGGTAGGTCAAAAGTGCTGTTGTGTTTGTTGCTCTCTCGCAATCTTCTTCCTTCATTTCACCACAGCGGGAGAGGTGGGCTAGCGAAGAGCAACACAAAGAGACAGATGGTCTGTCAAACAATAAGTGACATCATCAATAGACAGTTGGTGGTGGTGGTGGCTGTAGAAAAAATAAGATGGGACCATTGTGTTGGTAGTGACCTGTGGTGAGAAAAATGGGGATTTGTTGCCCCGAGTGGCGGTGAATACTTGGTGTGTTGGTCCTTTTGTATGATGTATGATGTAATTATATATATGGCATTGTGTTTCTGGTGTCTGCCGATCCTTTTGTGGTCATCCATCTGTCAATTGAGGTCCTGGGAGATCCAAAAATCAAAAACCTTGAGCTCCGACTGAAGCACCATCAATCTTATTATCAAAAAATTATCAATTCACAAACCACACTTCTTTGTTCTTGTCAACAACTTGAGCTTGTCGGGTTTTTTTCAGCGAAAAAGGTTATCATTTCTTATCAGACGACTCGGAGTCTCGTGTTTGTTTCGGAATTCAAACTTCTTTGTTCTATTCTTGTTCAACGGAACCAACAACCAACCAACACGAAAAAAAAAGTTTTCGGCGGGGACCAGTTGCTCTTCAATTTGATATCTCCGAGGAGATGGAAGAAATAAAATCCATTCAGCTGTCACACATCGGCTTTGACCAACCAAGTACTTCCATTCTTCTCATTAGAAAACCAAATCGGATAGGGAAGGGGAACAACTAGTTCAGTAGCACGTCTCTTAGAACAATTATAATTTTATGTATTTTATGCGTTTTTGGTCATTTTCTGAATAGGAGAGAAGTAAATTGGAAACGAAATTGGCTCGTTTTCCATTTCAAACGGCGTAGGCACAGCGATTAAGTGTAATTGTGTGAGGGGTAGGTTGAAGATCAATGTACTCCAGCAAGTCATTAAAAAAATAATTCCAAGCTTCTCGTGCCATGCAGTACCAACGTTTTTCTATGTCACAAACACCATTTGAAACAGTTTTTGTTTGAGAAAACCAGGACACGAACAGAAAAAAAACCGATAAGGAACTATTATTGTTGGTGTGATTGAATAGATAATGTTTGATGACCAGGAAGTTTTTGTTATGGTAATTGCGAGTGGCAAAAACACAATAGGGCTATGATGTCTGATCTAGTTTTTGCTGTGTTTGATTTCAAACTGAGATCAACAGCTTGAAAAATTGTTGAAATCGTTTTTTTTTTGTTAGTTTTTTAGTTTCCAAGGGAGCTATACGACCATAAAACGTTTAAGCGTCATAAAACTTCGCGAAAAAAGCAAAAAAGAGAAAAGGAACCAACAGTGTTCACTGGAAAACAGTAAACAAAACTATAAATATTTTTCTGGTAGCGAGTCGAAGGATTCGGTAAGAGTACCGTTCAAGTGGGGCTAAAATTCAAACTTTCTAGAGCTGAAATATCGTTATTATACAAGAGATGACACTTTCATTTCAGTGGAACAAAACACCAGAGGCCACTAATTGTAGTAGAGTAGATGAAAAGATCCAGGGATACCAAAATCTAGGAGACCTCATAAATCAGTCAACCACCTGCTTTTCTCTTTATTTTGAAACAAAGGCAGTTACCGGTTCGGCGTTTTTCTTTCTTCCAAGTATGCTCATTAACCGCTTTCCATGGAATTCCGAGGTTAGGATAAGATAATTATACACTTAACAACCACCCAATTATTTTCTCAAAAGGTCGTTCAACTTGAGTACCTTCTAGCCATAATTGTTTGGGATTCGTGCCCAACAAGATCTTCACAGCAATTTGAGTGTACAGAAAAGGAAGACGACACCGTGTTCAGGTTCTCACCAAAGATGTTATCGTTCATTTTTCTGCGAGTCCATCATACAGTGTTCACGGATGAGTGACGTTTTATGTACAGATGTTTTGGAATGTGACAGGACATGCCAAAGTGGATATCTAATCATGCAGATGTGTTGTTCAATGGCAGATGTTTTTTACATTGTTTGGTATGATTTTGATCTGATTTGATCAGATGTCTTTGTCGGTGTGATAAGCTTTGTAGATACGATTTAATTTTGATGGATTACAAAATTAACAAGATTTTGCAACTGATTCTTGGTCTAGTGACCGAAATATGAAGTGGGGACTTTCGTATTCCTCGAAAATTGGTTCACATAATCTCTTTTTTTCCATTTCAAAATTTTTGGTTTCACGGAAAGAAGCGTCAAATTAACCTTGGGTTCGATTTTCTCTTCTAATCTCTTCTATTAATTATGTGTCTGTTCGCCATACGGATATTGTTAATATTTACTGTTCGTCTTACAATTGCACTTGACGATGACGGATGTTCGTGGCTTGATGGGATTAACAGGTGTTGAGCAGGTGGCATCAGTCACCGCATGCAAATAAAAAAGTATGCATCTGGACACAAGGGCATTGAACCTATAAAAGTACCCGCGCAGATATAAATGACACGAACACCTGCTACCGCGAGGTACATCGTATCATGAAAGATGTGCTAACCAATGAAAAGCTCTTCGGAGAGGAACATGAGAATTGAACAAGTTGCGGGATCTGGAAATTGATTTAGACGAATACAGAGAATTTGAACAATTTTACACGGACATGCTCAATGAACTCAGTCCGGAAAATACCATCAAGCCACCAATATACGTGCGAATAAAATAAGAATCATAAATGACCACTTCTGTTATGAATGGTTTCGTGTTCCACAATGAAGAGTTACATTAGTACTTGTTTGTTAGATCTGAAAACTTTCAAGATTGTAAACTTAATGAACAAATATATTTGTAGTTTGCAATGCAGCAAATGAAATTTTCCATACCGAACGGATACGTAGCAAGTATTAATTCAAGACCCCAAATTTATCATTTCAACTGAAACGAACATTTCGAGCGTACTTTTTTGTCTCTACTGTATTTGTCACGCACATTCAGTGCTGATAGAAATTCAATCCCGATTTCTATATATTGTTTTAAGAACACTTGCCAAAAGGATCAGCGACGTGAGACAAGTGTTATCCTTTTATTATGAATTTGAATGGTAATTTTCAAAATTTTGAGGTTTTTTCGTTTTGTCATCAGGCATTTTTCCAGCAAGTGGTTGTACAAAATAGTTGTGAACTACAAAAACAAAAGTTCATTCTTTTTTATAATCCAAAATTTTTCAGAAAATGTTTGCAAGACATATGCAATAATTCAGAATTTCTATTTTGGGATGGAATTCAGGCCAGCACTGTGCCTAATCTTTCAATATCCTAATTCTTTTGATCTCGTTTTTCTTCACCAAAGATATCAAACGCGAATGCATCATGTTGTACTTTTTTGAAATTTTTTGAAAGTATAATTCAAATATAAATTTTCGAGACGTATAAGTAATCATGTACTTTCATAAAAGTTCAGCTAATCACCTTATAACACTTCTTAATATTCAAGCTCAACTTTGTCATCAGAGCTTTCCGAGTGTATAAAAGGGCAGTTAAACAGCATAAGTTGCTCATATCTCCACGATGTGCGACTACTCTCTTCCGGCTACTGCTGGCTTTCTAAACCAATTGCTATTATTCTGTAAACCGTTGCTTCGTGTTTCCGGGACTGATCGTAGCCTTCAACACTCGAAGCGAAGTGTTGAGGTAGACGTTTAGCCCGAAAACAAGTTGAATAACGGTCCTTTTGTATGGGTTTGTTCATATGTGCAAGTGGGATCAAGGATGTATTAGAAAATCCACTATTTCAGGACTGATACATCAAATAATCATTTTCAGGATAGATTTTCCAGGATTGTGTTGTAGTTGCACACAGAATAAAACGAGAAATATTTCTGAAATAGCTCAATCACGTTGTTTCTAGGCTCCACGAATTTCAAGTTCATAAAACAACAACATTAAAAAGATTGGCTATGTAAAACTGAACGCTTACAGGAAAAACTGCAATAAGAGGTCTATCACTTTCAAATTTGATCCAATTTTTCCTTGTACCTGTGAAAAATACCGAAAAGTTGTCAACTATAACAGACGATCAAATTTTCGCCTATTTTCATAGCATTCACCGTTTTTGTTTTTCTCGAATTACAGTTTTACAGACTTCAAAGTTATTTCGTTCCGGTCAAAGTTGCAAATGATCTTGAAACATGTCAAGTGCAATAGTTTAACAATGCACTTTTTCCAAAATACATTCGGATAAAATTCAAATCTTGATTTTCTAAACAAGAAAAGTAATCCTGCACTTTTACGAAAGCTTATTTCATAAGCAAAATCAAGGACTCAAATGTGAAACTTTACGAAAGTGCAATTCAAATATAAGTTTTGAAGACACAAAAGTAATCTTGTACTTTTTCATTAGTTCAACCGTTGTAACCTTTTTGAGCTATTCTAATCAATATATTCTTATTATCAGATCTCGTTAATCAATCATCACATTTCAAAAATAATTGTATAAGTTATCAGGGCATATCTTATTAGTATCTTCAAGAAATTGATCTTGTCAACGTGTTTTTTGAAGAAGATCCGAGATCTCCTGATCTATACCGACAAACATACATCAAATTTCATCATATGTTTATATTTAGTTACCATTTTGAACATTGAAAAGTAAACAGACACAATTTTGATTATCACGGAGGGTGTATCAAATTACTATATTCACTTGTTAGCTCAGGGGCCGTATTCATGAAATTTACATTTGTAAATCATTTACTCTCAAAAAATCAACTGAATCATTTTAAAAAAAAGGTGAATATAAGCGTGAAAAAGTTTTAACAACGATACTTTTGGAAATCAGTATTTTTTCAGCGAATACTTCTGTTCAAATCAAGATATGTAATGAGTCGGTGTCCATTGCTAGAGAAGTCGCAAGACAAGGCTGGAATTTAATTGCCCTGGATTTCCCGGAACTTCTAGAAAAAAGCCGGTGCCCGAATTCCAAAATGGAAACAGATCGTCCAGTTCTTCCTTTCCACGGATCTGCAAGCTACAGCGTTTGGAAAAACGAGCAGTTTCTCAACCTCAAGCCCGGGCCAACAATCATGGAAGTATATCTTATAGGAAAGTTCGATTTACCTTCAGGAATAATTAATCTAAACTGTGTTATTCAGCCAAAGTGGTATTGGCGGCAAGCCTTGTTGTCCACTCCTGTAACGCTTGTTACACAACATGGAATGTCCTAAACTGGAATCGTCCAAAACAAAATGACCCAAAACGCCAGGAGGAAGACTATGTCATGGTTGACATGGATTAGCTGTCACTCTATTTTTTTGGCCTGATAACAATTTCCCTGCTAATTACCCTTCAATATTTTTTTTCAGATTAATGACAATTCAAAAGCGCTCTTATTTCATTTTCTATTTTCCATTTAGTATGTACAGTTATATTATTGCAAAAAATGTTTATGTTCCATTCATTCCACACTCATCCCGTTCAATTTTTACTTTCTTCGAGAAGCACTTTTTTTGTCTATAAAGCTTTAGACTTGGCAATAAAAACATTTTTCTTTAGGAAACCCCAAAGGATTTTCAATTTTTAGAAAATCACTGGCGAAAATGACACTAAGCACTGCCAATGGCAAATTCCAAATCAAAGAAATGCCGACGAGGTCTGAAAAATTCAAATTTACGATTTAGATCTAGTTTATTCTCAAAGTTTCAAGCGTGTTCTGCTTCTTCAAATGAAAAAAAACCCCCTATATTTTATAAAATTCAAAACCAACGAAAATCAACATAAACAACAGGAAGCCAGTGTTTTGATGGGGAGCAAATCAAGCTGAAGATTTGACTACGAGATTCCAGAAGTTTAAGTAAATAACATAGGAACAATTATAATGTAATTCAAAAGTGGTGGACGGTGCAAATTTCAATGGTTGTTGGTGGAGCAATTCAAGAGGTGCAGGATCTTTTTTTTTACTTTCTTGATGATCCGGGGCGACGGCAGGTGCATTTCATTCACCGGTAAAGCGTGAGGGATCTAGTTTTATATAACTCTTTTTTATATTACTCTTTTATTTTTCTAAAATGAAAACCCAGCCGGTTTCAGCAGCTGAATTTATTCACAACATTTTTCTAAGCATTCTGTTGAATTTTACGAGCCAACTATTAGCAGGCCCAGTATCCAAGGGTACATCAGAAAAGGGTACATCGAGGGTACATCGAGTTCTTAGGGTACATCTGGGAAGTAGGTTCAAGGGGTACATCTGGCGTTGGTTCTGAGGGTACATCGGAGAAAGGATCCCAGGGTACATCGACAAGTTCTTAGGGTACATCAATTAAAAATTTTGTAGTTGTCAGCTGGGAGATATTTAGGTTTACACTGCACTATTTTATTTGTTTTTTTTTGTCGATTTGTTTGAAAAAGTACAGTTTTTTAATTTTTTTTTGATTGATTCATTTATTATAGCTTGTTTTCCTGGAGCTTATCATACTGAAATTCGCTGTACAAAAAAGGTGGAAAATTCGATTTTTATCAAAACAATATGAGTAACTTTCAACCAAAAACACTCTTCAAATGTTCCAGAACAGGAAACATCATGAATTAAAAAATTCAAGCTCTCGGAAACTTTTCGGATTTTTATTTGGAAACATGTATCTATAAAATCACTAAAAAGACACCAAAACGAAATTTGTTTTCAATTTCACAGAAACAAAAAATGTGGATGAGGTAGGGTTTGAACTCACCTCTGCAGTTTGTCGTGCACGTACGCTCACCCCTAGACTACTTCACCGATTTTCACCTTGCTCACCGCGACCCGTACATATCTTCGGTGGTTTCTAAAGCAGGAAGAAAGTTTGAAGGTGGAATTAGCAACAATTTCCGGAAGGTTTTCCAAGACAAGATATGTAAACTACTGGCTAGTTGAAACTCCTGAAAATTAGGACTGAACTTCCCGTATTCTTAGTTTTCTCTCTGTTTTATTTTTCTGTAGGTTTCGAATTCTGTGGAGACGAAACGAAAACCGATGAGAGCTTGAGAGTCTTGATGAGAATGCAGAAATCCCGATTTTAGACAGCAAAACTATGAAACATCTCATTTTTTGTCTTCCAGAATTAGTGAAGAGCTCAAAAATAGGGTAATTTTGTCTGAAACTTTCAATTTTTAGGCCAGGTCATTGATTTCAGTGGTTTCCGTCTTTGTGTCCAATCGCTCGCTTCCGTGTCTTATCTCCCTGTGCTTTAAAAAAGTTTTTATACTAAAAATGTGTTTTTTTCTCGAAAACGTGTACTTTACTGCCATGTTTGTGTTTGTATTCCAAAAAATGCGTGAAATTCCCATGGGAGAGTTTCCAGAATTATCTAGGCCAGCAGTGGCAGTGGCCGTGTCGATTTACGGGGCTTCTTTTTTTTTAATTTTTCGTCTTATTTTCTCGATTTTCAATAAATTTTGGCCGTTTTTCATAAACTCTTTTGCAGAATTTCGCAGAACATAATTAATTTTTGAATTATTGCAGTGATTTGGGTCTGAATTTTGAGTCCTAGACTCATTTTTCGAATTTCGAAATCTTGGAGTAGAAATGGTTCCAGATTTGTGGTCCGAAGCCGAGTACTTCACAGTTTTAGGTAAAGATGTCTTGCAGAAATTGTTGACTCGGTGAGAACGACTAATTTCAAGATTGATTTTTACAAAGAAAAAACATATTTCAGCTCCACAGTATAATTTCCTCTCAACTGTTTCAAATTTCCTGAGTTCACAGAACCAACGCCAGATGTACCCCTTGAACCTACTTCCCAGATGTACCCTAAGAACTGATGTACCCTCTGATCCAATGTACCCTAAGAACTCGATGTACCCTTTTCCGATGTACCCTTGGATACTGAGCCCTATTAGCAATATTTCACAGCCACAGAAATTATTATCCTCCCATTTTTTCTGAGTAAATCATTTTCCAACTTCAAAAATATCACAAGCACAAACTCCAGAACCACTAGTCATGCGTATGAAATGAACTTTGTGCATATCACCAGACATTGACGCATTGCACTTTGCGATTCCCCTGTTTCATTCTGGACCAAATATAATTCTGCAAAAACATTAGGCTCAAAAGTTTGAAAAAGTGCCGGCCAGATCCATTAAAGTGCACTTCATATAATCACGTTTCAGATGAAAAAGTAATTGTACTTTCTCAAAAAACGGATACGTCAAGAGTTTCAAATTGTATAAAAGGCTTCACCAAAGTAGTACTTTTTCAGTGTGCTCTGAGAAAGTCTTATCAAAATTATTCTGCAACTGTTATTTAATAACTACTATTCCTGAAACCGTTGCTATGTGTTTTCGGGTTTCATCGTCGCCCTCGACACTCACAGCGAAGTGTTGAGGTAGGCATGTAGCCCGAAAACAAATACGTCAACGGACCTTTGGAATGGGTATGTTTTTATTATAATGGGAGATTATGATAACTCATGATAAAAAAGATAATAGGCAAAACTTTCAGTACACATCACAACATTCGACATTTTCAAGTTTCCAGGAATGCCACAGAAAAATAGAAAATTCCACAAGTTAGAAAATCTATGCTTCTGATTATGGGGAACTCTGTAATCATGAATAATTGGAAAAACAGTGTTTTCGTTGACATTCGATTTACCGCCACCACATTTTCAGAGATTTTTTTCAGAGGTTTAGTAGGCCAGATGTTTTGATTATCTAAACTCTCACATTTTCACTGAATTAGCGTTTTTACGAACAGAATGGAACAACGATAATTGGATTCGCGGTAAATGTAGCCAATGTTGCCAAAACCCCAGAAAATCTCAATAATTTGTGATCTTCAATGTAGAGTATACAAAGCCAAAAAATAAAATATCACTGAATCACATATTTATTTTTTGCCTTATTCCAGATTTAGTATCATTGCACTTTGACTATTGCATGTTTCAGTCTGAGGATTATCTACCTCAGAAACATGTCAAAGTGCAAAATAGTGCACTTTTTGAAATATCGAAGTCTTATTTCAACACAGTGATTTTGCCAAAATCTATTAAAGTACGATTCACGCTTATATCTGAGAAAGTAGGTAAAGGGAGCTTTCAGTTATCACATGACTATGATGACTGAATCAGGCATCAGTTTACATCTCACCCATCCACTAACCAATCCTGAAGATTCAAAATTTCTAGATACACCCTGTGAGAAGATATAGTAAATATTGATTGAACCCGTGAGGTTAAAAAAAAGAGAAAAATGACAATGTGTAGAGAAATTTCCTGAAAGAATTTATTGTATCACTCTAGTGATTGCAGCCAGGAAAGCTCCTCTTCTTCTTTTTCTAAATATTATATGTTATGGGTTTGGGCTCGCAATTCGTGCTTATTATGAGAATAAATTTCCAATCCGATCCAGACCCCCCCCCCCCATAAAGGATCAATAACTCTCGCTACAGAGTCGTCTGTCGTTTGGGTTTTGGCACCTTTTCTACGTGTTTCCTCGTCGAGGACACTGAAAATGCTAATGTTGAAAAAGCCATGAAAACTACTGTGAATGGTTTCGATAAGGACATGTATGATGAGGAAGCCTAATCATTAACCAAGTGCAAAAGTCTCGCTTGCTTTTCTCGCATATGGGATCATTATGTCAAAAAAAATCACATCGTGTTATTTGTGAGTTTTTTGAATTGGAATACTGCGAACGCTCTAAGAAATTCACACAATCTTTGTGAACTTTGGGCCCTTTGTAACTGCTCTTTCAAAAGATAAAAACAAATTTCAACTGGTGAAATGTTTGTTGTAAAATTAGCAACATTTAATCGATTTGCAATTTTTCTATATCTTTTGAAAGAGCCGAAAGAATTGAGCTTGAATTGAACGTAAAAGGTGTTTTTTTTATTAAAGCATTCACAGTATACGTTAAACACCCTAAATGCCATACCCCACCATCAGTTTTAAGCTCATATATCTCGTTTTCTGTGAAAGATATGAAAAAGTGGTCAACTGACAAAATGTTTAGCATGATTCCAAAAATATTTTGTCAGTTGACAGTATTTTTTTAACATCTCCCATAAAAACCGAAATAAATGAGCTCAAAGTTTAAAGTTTGGGGTCATTCTATTAGAATGCTTCCATAACGGTCAACTTGAAGCTCATTTATTTCGTTTTCTGTGAAAGATATGAAAAAGTGGTCAACTGAAAAAGTGTTTAGCATAAAATCAAAAGTATCTGGTCTGTTGACCGTTTTTTCGATATCCTCCATAAAAACCAAGACGAATTAGCTTAAAGTTAAAGTTAGGGGTCATTTTTTAAATGTTTTACGACATACAATTTTTCAGTTTTCTCCTCGGAAGGAGAATCGATTGCTAGTGTTTGGAGCCAAACAAAAAAGTCGTCTTCTCTACTTCGAAATTTTTACGCCTTTAGTTTCAATTAACATCCGCGCTAGACCATATTCACAGTTTTGGCTACCTGCACAAAGTCATCAATAGAGACATCATGTTGAAAAAGAAGGAAAAGGTAGGTTCAAAATTCGAAAAAAAATATTTTGAAATTGCAGGATTTGATTCTTTCGGTAATCGATCTTGCACACGTTTGGCCCACACAACCTTGGCAAAAATGCCACTTCAGAGGATACTATGTAAGTTGACATATAAAGAGTGGAAAGGAATACAAAGAGCGAGACGATTTCACGTCTGCCATTTATCTTGTATCGGAATATGCGAATGCCAGAATTTTTGATTTTACCGTGAACCCTTTACTTGAAGCAAAGCCCGATTCGTGAGTTTGAAAACATTTTTATAGAATACTAATAATCATTAATTTTCAGCATGATTCTCACACTGACTGCTTTCCAGCCGATTGAAGTGGATTGGTAAATTGACGGTTTTTTTTTCGATAAATTGGGCAGCCATGACAAGAAGCCAGAGATGTCAGCCATTTGGAATCAGTATCAGAAGGCGATCCCTGACATAGCTCCAAACTCGCCCATCGAGTACAAGCTTGCCAAGAATATTGTCCACATGAAATGAGCAAAGGATTTGGCCAAAAGAAGAAACATTCATTAAACTAAATTGACTGATATTCAGAATGCAATTTTTTTATTCTTCATATGGGAAAACTGACATCAATCCTACAGAAAAACACAACTGTTTTCAATCTTGCAAGAAAACCATTCTGTCAAACAGTCTATTAACTCCTTTGAAACTTATCTTTAAAAAGTGATTTTTTTTCACTTTCTTGTCATTAAATGATACTAACTTCTGATGATCTAATACGAAATCATTTTTTGCTTCTAGACATTTTTATTAAGCTCCAAACAATGTTTTTTTTGGTGAGACAAGCTAAAACCAGCATAAGGTTCACTTTTAGTCACAGTTCAATTGAATTCTGTAACATAAGATTTCCTATTGCGGAATGCTCATGGAAACCATAGCAATCATTTCAAAAGTGATATTTTGGCTCTTTCCGGGAAGGACGGTCCTAATGCGGGACCGTCAGTCCCATTATCGGACTGCCGGTCCCAACGAATTCCGACAACGGTCCCATTGTTCCGACAACGGTCCCAATGTCCCGAGAACGGTCCCAACGTTCCGAGAACGGTTTTCTTAGGACCGGTGGTCCGATGATGGGACCGGTGGTCCGATGATGGGACCGGCGGTCCTGTTTTGGGACCGTTGTTCCCGGAAAGAGCCGATATTTTTGCACAACATGGTCAAATGACCCAAAACGCCAGGAGGAAGACTATGTCATGGTTGAGATGAAAACCGCTCGTATTTCACATTTCTTGCTGTATTTCATATTCAAATGAAACAAATTCAAAATATTTATGTGATTCCACGTTCTAAAATTCATTTTCAGTTGGCGTTCTTTGTGAGTGAATTTTGAAACTGGCATTGAAAAATAACTATTAAAAACAACTCATAAAAAATTAGAAGTCACGATTTTGGCCAAAAATGGTCCAGTTTTAAGCCAAAATGTAAATTACTAAAAATGCCCAGCACTATGTCGAAGGGAAATACAGATCGAAAACTTGCCGACAAGGTTCTAAAAGTTTGCATTCAACAATAAGATTTTATTCATGTTTTGACCATGCTCCGCTTCTTCCATTTGAAAAAAATATATTTTATTGCATTTTCGAGTAAAACATGTCTATCGAAACAACTTTGGGAATCAAAAATAAACGAAATTTAATGAAAGCAACGGTAAAGCAATGTTTCAATGGAAGGAAAATTGGGATGAATATTCTTCTGCGAGATTCATAAAGTCTTAGTGGATGAAAACGATATTAATGTGATTCGAAGGTAGTTGGTGGTGCAAATTTAACCGTCAGTCCCATTATCGGACTGCCAGTCCCATTATCGGACTGCCGGTCCCAACGAATTCCGACAACGGTCCCATTGTTCCGACAACGGTCCCAATGTCCCGAGAACGGTCCCAACGTTCCGAGAACGGTTTTCTTAGGACCGGTGGTCCGATGATGGGACCGGTGGTCCGATGATGGGACCGGCGGTCCTGTTTTGGGACCGTTGTTCCCGGAAAGAGCCGATATTTTTGCACAACATGGTCAAATGACCCAAAACGCCAGGAGGAAGACTATGTCATGGTTGAGATGAAAACCGCTCGTATTTCACATTTCTTTCTGTATTTCATATTCAAATGAAACAAATTCAAAATATTTATGTGATTCCACGTTCTAAAATTCATTTTCAGTTGGCGTTCTTTGTGAGTGAATTTTGAAACTGGCATTGAAAAATAACTATTAAAAACAACTCATAAAAAATTAGAAGTCACGATTTTGGCCAAAAATGGTCCAGTTTTAAGCCAAAATGTAAATTACTAAAAATGCCCAGCACTATGTCGAAGGGAAATACAGATCGAAAACTTGCCGACAAGGTTCTAAAAGTTTGCATTCAACAATAAGATTTTATTCATGTTTTGACCATGCTCCGCTTCTTCCATTTGAAAAAAATATATTTTATTGCATTTTCGAGTAAAACATGTCTATCGAAACAACTTTGGGAATCAAAAATAAACGAAATTTAATGAAAGCAACGGTAAAGCAATGTTTCAATGGAAGGAAAATTGGGATGAATATTCTTCTGCGAGATTCATAAAGTCTTAGTGGATGAAAACGATATTAATGTGATTCGAAGGTAGTTGGTGGTGCAAATTTAATCGTTGTTGGTGGAGAAAATTGAGAGACCGTTGATGGATCAAATTCAAAAGTTGTTGGTGGAGCAAATTTGAATGTCATTGGTGGAGCAGCATTCATTTTGTTGGTGGAGCGGAATCCTTCACTTTCTTGATGTTCCGGGGCGACGACAGGTGCAGTTTTATCATCACTGTAACAAGGAGTTTTGCAGTTGCTTGAAGTGTTCAGGATTATCAAAATTTTCTGACACTTACTCAGAACCAGCATTGCTCTCTTCATCGTCGAATCGAATGTCATCTTCCTTTTCAATTCGTTTTATCAGTTCATTATCTGCATCAGTTCGGTCTCCCAAATACTTCACACGCAACTCTCATACTCGTGGAAAACCTCTCGAGCAAATTTCATATATGCATAAGACGGGATCCATTCGGAGGTGATGAGAGCGCTCTCCATTTCCTGAGCATCCATTAACATATCTTCTATGGCCGTTCTCAAAAACTTTCTCAGTAGCAGCCTCCTTTCAACCAGATGTCGAGACAAGACTCTGCTGAAATACTACTGTATTTAATTAACAAATTTTAATAATAACTCACCTGAAAGAAGTCTTCCGGTACAGTGATAGACACGTCTTGCAACATCTATAAATTCTTTTCTGGGCACACGATGCCCATACCTCCATGCTCCTGTTAATTCAATGAAGGCGTAGACGATATTGCGGGTCTGTAGGTCTTCCGGTCCCCACCCGATTGGTTCAAGTCTTGATTCCTCAATCTTGATGTATTCGCTCATCGTCCGGTAAAACTCCATTCTAACCTCCGGTAAAGGGTCACGGTCGATTTTCTGCTTCCATAAACGGAGAGCAGTCCCTGATGGTGGTCTGACAAAAGGAACTTTCTTGGGCTGGGAGAGCACGTTTCTGACAATTGGATCAGTGGAAACTGGATCTTGAGCAATTTTTTCAGGTCTGGATCTCTTGCGTCTGGACATTTTGGAGTGTTCAGGAAGTCTCGATCGATAGCCAGCTGCGGATATCAAAAAAACAGAAGAAATTGATGTTGTTATACGCTAAGCAACGGGCTAGCGGAGTGCCGTTGTTATGGCAACTTCGTTTATATATGCGGGAGAGAGAAAATAGCGTCTGATGAGCCAGAAAAAAAAAAAGAAAAACGGGGAAAAAGAAGCCAGCAATCGATTTCCTTAGAAATATTGAGAAGGGAGTAGGATTATATGAGTTATGTAATGAAGATCGAATGAAATGAAGAGGCGCAGATTGCATGACCTGATATAATGAGGAACAGGGTGAAAGCAGCAAAAAGGAAGTAGGAATTGAATAGTCCCTTTCTAATAAACATCGAGATAGAGAGCAAACTTAGTTTTAACTGATATTACGACTACAAAACCTACAGGCAGTTCAAACAATAACATACGGGGAAAACTTTGGGGTGTGAATTCGAATTGAAAGGCGCAAGTCTTCGGTCATGCGGCTGTGTACAACTTGAGGGAAGACCAATTTTTCGGGTTATTTTTTAATTATTGATGAAAAGGCAGAAAGTAGTGTGAATATTGAAGGAATTATTTTATATTTTTTATCAAGATGGCGATTAAGAGCCCCGAAAGATTATTTGTCCAAAAGGACAAGGTTTAAAGAATAGGACAGGTGCAAAGGATAGATCAGCCGAACGATGCGAATTTTTGGTTGATCGCTCTATTAATGTGCTATTTCGCATTGTCGTGCTGGGAACACCCTTGGCCTCCAGGTTCCAGAATGTCCAGAGCTAGCTCTTCTTTGTCAATCGACTGGCCCTCCCGCACATTTTTAAAGAAGCTCACCCATTTTTTAGAGTAATCACATCAGCCACCAACTCAACGTGTGAAGAAATGGCAGGAGAAACATGTACATATCTACAAGGCGATCAATATTGTAGTTCTTCAAAACATGGGAAACGAATCGACCGAGTTCTTGAACTTGCCAAGAGGCTTCAATCCGGTCACAATACTCGGTTGGAAAACGGTCAATGCCTATGACATTTCACGACCGGTTTGAAACGGATCGGCTTCAACTCTGCTCTTCAATAGGGCCAAATCCAACTTTCGGACCGATCTCCGTCTACCTATTCTAAATTTTCGGTGCTTAATGGTAGGGTCAGTGAGAGATGGTTTTTCATCTATTTATTTCATTTTCTTCTGAATATCATTAATTTTAAAACCAGAAAAGAAAAAAAAATAAAATGACATTTTGAAAGTGTAGATGGTGAGGTACGGAAGCAGGCGCCATGCTTGCGAACGACAAGAAGTAGGAATAAGGCAAAATATGTAGAAGAAGTTCGTGAGATACTCTATCTACCAAAAAAAACAACTGCTAAGAAAAACCATCCCACTATCAGTTATCAATTTTCAGTTGAGCATTTAAAATCGGAAAACTTTTGGACCATTCTTATAGAAAAAATCGGTGTGTGTGTGTGTTTTCACGTGTTATTTGAAATTTCTCTATCTGCACATTGTCTCAAAATCAACGAGAAGGATGGTTTTTGAAATTGAAAAAAAAACTTTTTTCAAAGAAAACCGCCTAGAAATTGTTGGGTAAACTATATCTTTCAGGACTACATCAACCAATTCAAAAATAACTGATATCTTAAGTAAAACTCCGTGAGGAAAATGAAAAAGTTGAAACATTTGAATTACAGAATTTTATGCTTTTGCGAAATTAGGACAAGGACCAACAAGTGATAGTTTTTTCGTGAAATGCTTTGATATCTTGTTTTAAACCGAGACGAATCAGGTCAAATTTAATGCTATAAGTGTCTTTTTTTACAGGTCGTCCAATTGTACAATTTGCTTCAGATGCCAACTCCATTTTTGTGTAAATTGAATTAAATACTGCTTTTCTATAGATTATCGCTCGTGAAAAGCGATATGAAATCGTGCAAAAATCACCTGTTTTGAAATTCTTGAACAATTTCCTCGATGTATCAAAAAAATTTTATGCCCTCTTTTTCCAAAATACCATTCAGTTTTCAGCAGCTGCATTTATTTATAGAGCTTTTCTGAGAATTCTTTTGAATTTTCCGAGGCAAACTATTAGTAATCTTTTACAGCCACTGAAGTTATTATCCTCTTTTTGTTTCTGGGTAAATCATTTTCCAACTTCAAAAAGATTACAAGCTCAAACTCCAGAACCACTAGGCATGCGTAGAAAGTGAACTTTCTGCACATTACTAGACATTGACTCAGTGCACTATCATATTCCCCTGTGTTTCAGTCTGAAGCAAATAATATTTTGCAGAAATCTTAAACCCAAAAGTACGAGGAAGTGCCGACCAGTCCCATTAAAGTGCACTTCACATAATCACGTTTCAGATGAAAAAGTAATTGTACTTTCTCAAAAAACGGATACGTCAAGAGTTTCAAATTGTATAAAAGGCTTCACCAAAGTAGTACTTTTTCAGTGTGCTCTGAGAAAGTCTTATCAAAATTATTCTGCAACTGTTATTTAGTAACTACTATTCCTGAAACCGTTGCTATGTATTTTCGGGTTTCATCGTCGCCCTCGACACTCACAGCGAAGTGTTGAGGTAGGCATGTAGCCCGAAAACAAATATGTCAACGGACCCTTGAAATGGGTTTGTTTTTATTGTAATGGGAGATTATGATAGGCCATGGTGTAAAAATAAAGAAAGACATAGATATTAAGGCAAAATACAGGGTGGCTTTTAATTATTGACACCAAACTTCCGAGCTAGATATGGTGCACACCAAGCGCAGTAATTCCGTTTGTTTTATACTTTTCTCGTTCGTCTACTCAGTGTTAATATTTCTGCCAAATTTCATGACATGAATTTATGTCTGAAAAAAATGGTGGCTCATTTTCCAAGCATTGTTTTTGTCATCAACTTTTCAATTGAAGGTAACCTCCTGAGTGATGTTACGAAACCAGTCTGTGTGGACCGCATGTTGGTTCATCATACCACCAAATAATTTTTTCTCATTTCCACTGAGGTGGGTCATTTAATAACCGATTTTCGAGTATCTGTGACATCAGTTACGATTGTCCTAGCCGCGAAAAGAAGGATTTGCTTAAATTCAGACGAGAGTCACAGAAAGCTCGCTGTTACACACATATTATTATTCTAGCTTAGTTAAAAGAAAAGAGGAAAACAAAAGTTCACAAAGACTTATTAGCCAACCTAATAGAATGGAATCATCATTTTAATGCGTATTTGTTGTTATTTATATTGAAAAAAACGTTGTAGATCGTCGAAAAAATTGAGAAAATAAGAAAATAATCTTTGAAATAAGTCCGAAATGCGGTGCTTTCCGCACTTGCGCCTTTAACAAAAATTTAACTAGATATTCAATTTTTTTTTCTCAGACAGCGATAATACTTGCTGGAGAAGAAGACGTTTCCAGGTTTGGCATTTTCCTTATGAACATTTGAGTATTCCGCCTTATGGTGAATACCAAGTATTATATTATCTATCAGTTCCGAGCTGTAAAGATTTGACAAAATTCAACATACTGATTTTTTTTAAACTTGCGTATTTTTCCTATCTACAAACGTTTGAGGATTCTTTGTGATAATTATTTTCAAACTGTGAAAATACTAGTTAAAATAACTTTGAGCCAATTTTTTTAACTTGTGAAAGTTATCAAGAAGATATGCAACTAAGAAAACGTTTACCAAAATTTAATTGAGAGACAGTTCGTTTTGGAAGTTAGAAATAGTTTTTCTTAACATTCTTCTCCCATGAAAATAGTATTATGAGTTCCAAAAAATGTCCTGAATGTTCTGCAATTTTCATTTAAAAATTGAATTTATTCTTCTCACCTCTTCTAAATCTTTCCTGATGAACTTCGAAAGTTTTTTTTTTCATTTTTATCACAAAGAATCCTCAAACGTTTGTAGATAGGAAAAATACGCAAGTTTAAAAAAAATCAGTATGTTGAATTTTGTCAAATCTTTACAGCTCGGAACTGATAGATAATATAATACTTGGTATTCACCATAAGGCGGAATACTCAAATGTTCATAAGGAAAATGCCAAACCTGGAAACGTCTTCTTCTCCAGCAAGTATTACCGCTGTCTGAGAAAAAAAATTGAATATCTAGTTAAATTTTTGTTAAAGGCGCAAGTGCGGAAACCACCGCATTTCGGACTTATTTCAAAGATTATTTTCTCATTTTCTCAATTTTTTCGACGATCTACATCGTTTTTTTTTTCAATATAAATAACAACAAATACGCATTAAAATGATGATTCCATTCTATTAGGTTGGCGAATAAGTCTTTGTGAACTTTTGTTTCCCTCTTTTCTTTTAACTAAGCTAGAATAATAATATGTATGTAACCGGATATGGTATATAAGCTGATAGGGTTGTTCACAATAACCATCATTTGCCCTGTTCTCATTCCGCTTGCGAACGGGATGCCTCTTGTGATGTCCACTGTTTTTGGATGAAATTCATGTTTGATGACGTCTACTGGCTGTTTAACGAAGTCAAGACATTGGGCTTTTCTGTGATGGTTAGTTTATATGACCCTCTTCTCATCTAAGGTGATAATATAATTCAGCCGCTTAAAGTTCCCGAGTAGAGTAAGAAGTTGCATGCTCATGTCCACTTGCCGCGGAACATCAAAACTGGTCAAAACGGTGAGGTATCCGCCGTCCAAGTTTTTCTGTCTTTCCCAACTTTAACAATCCATCATCAATAGTGGTATGGGTTGTCCCTAAAGTGATTGACATTTCACAGGTAGATTGGAAAGGGCCCCGTTCAACTAGATCTCTCAGCTTGTCTAGATTTCGAAGTACTGGTCAATTGGGACAAGTTTCATCTTTCATTGAAAAGTCCTGGTTCTTGAACTTGCCAACCCAATTTACAACGGTGTTTCTTTGAGGACATTATTTTTGTAAACTTCCCAAAAAAAAAAGTGGTTATGAAAAAGGGAATTCTGTTCGCAAGCGGAGCAGGGCAAATGATGGTTATTGTGAACAATCTTATCATCTTATTTACCAAATCCTGTTACACACATGTTACTGTTCTTGCTCAGTGAAGATAAACGAGGAAAACAAAAATGCGCAAAGACTTATTAGCCAACCTAGTAAATGTCCCGTTTAAAAAATTCGAAAAGTGAGAAAACCGATTTTCCGCTTAGTTGCTAAGCAATAATGAGCCGTATCACAATTTCGTGTTGTTTGAAGAGCATTTTGAGATTGTGTAGAAAAAAACCAGTCTCAAATTGTCTTCGTCAAAGACCTTTCAATGATTTTTGATTCCCAGATCACGACCATTTTGATGGGCCAATAAAAATCGATTTTCCATTTTATTATTTTTTGGGAACTGTCGTCCAGAACTTGATTTACATTCGAAGTAACCTTCAATTCGATAAAACATTCGTGTTCGTGATTAATTCGTGTTTGTGATTCGTGATTAATGGGACCAATATATCTCAAAAGCTGAATCTCGTCTTTGTTAAAAACGCGCAAGAGTTTTCCTTTCTTTTTTCATTTCAACCCAACCGAGCTACACTCGAAACTTGTATTACACCTTTTACCAAGGATCGGAGAAAATGACAGCAAAATCGGCGAGTCTGTGAGCTCGTGGTGAAATATAAAACTGTGAAAAGAAGTTGACTTCAATTTGTAAACCATTTTCAAATGTTTTTCTAATCAGTTCACGTTTTAGCTCAAGTTGTCGATTTTGTTACACTTCAGAAAACTTTTTCGCGAGGTAATCAGAGCACAATGCTTTCTAGTTTTCGTTTCTCTCACTTCACGGCTGTCTTTCGTTTGCCCATCTTATCGCAAAAAGACGCGTATGAACTACCACAAGGTTTCTCCGGTGCAGCATGCTTTCAAATGAGAAGACCCATCTCTTGTTCTCCCTCTCCTCGTTATATTCTCTCCTTCCATTCAACACCATCAATTCGGCGACACTTGCACGTAACGCGACCCTCCGTCACTCTCTCTTGACACGGCCGTCCGGCTGCGCGTTGAGGACAGCACACAACGCGCTTTGCCGCCTCTCTTCCCCCTCGCATTTCTACGTCTCTCTGTTTTACACACTCTCTTTTAAAGGCGCATAGCCCGCGGGCGATTGGCGGGTCTCGCAACGCCCGTTCTCTTCATTGGATTTCTGAACGTTTACTTGTTTTGGCAGCATTGTTCGGCATTTTTTGAACGTTTCTACTCGCGTTTTCTGCTTTTTTAAACGTTTTTTCCCTTAACCAATCATTTCTCACAGAATTTTTACGAATTTTCACAATAATATGTTTTCAATACGTTTGAGATTTTTTTACAGGTAAAATGAGTAGAAATCTAGTGCGCTACAATCCTCCACCGGAGCAGTACCTTCAACGGTGCACGCGAATGTGGGCAAGGGATCGAGCAACTGGAGGAGTGTCACTGGCGTTTGTTCCGGACTTCAACAAAGGAATCGAGACGCCGGAGGCTATGGAGAAAGTTTGCGAAGAAGCTGAGAGCATCCTCCTGAAGCACAAGGTGAGTTGAAAATATCCAAAAGTTTTTGTTGGTGGTCATGGGGAGCGATCATTAGACAATGCTAGTTAATCTTTATCGTGAACTGTTTTGTTTCAGCTCTTCTCCGAGGAGACAAGATTCTTCACCGAGGACTACTCTTCCAAACTGGATGTTCTGGAGACAACATTCGAAACACTGATGACGGAACTATTAGATGAAGTACCAGCGCCACATCTTCGTCTGGAATATTCTAATGTCATTGCATTCTACATGACAGCTCGTGAGATGTTCACGTTCATATCTACTTTCACAGAGAATGAACACTGGGTTATGCCGTGTGATCTCGTCGATAAGTTTATCGAATATTTTGAAACGGTTCGCTTGATCAAAAAGTACTCGTTTGTGGATCTCCGCAATTTCTTGGAAGTGTTGGAGTTTAGCAACGAAATATTGCTGTGCATTCAGACACACTATCGTATCAAGAAAAAGTTCATCAGAAATGAAGAACCCAGTTTTCCTCGAGATGACTGTGAGAGATACTATTCTTACGATTACGAATGGTTCTGTGGATCAGTGATTTCTGGACCGTGAGTTTACTGTGCATGCTGAGCCCCCAATGAGCTATTTTGTCTTTTCAGATACCATATGGATTGTTGTCGTTGGTTGTGTGTCAGTCGTCATGCGCAGATGAATCTTACCATCTTCCGTTGCGAGACAATGGCCGCCGCTCATGGAACGTTCTTCGACTACTTGATGAACATCCCAGTCCCATTCCCAGGATCTGCTGACTCCCCAAAACTTATTTTGAGTGCTTTGAGCTCTAGAGAAGCGTGCTTTAGAGATGCTAACATGAGGTCACTCGCTACTCTTAAAGAGTTGATCGAAGGAGATCCGGAGCTCAAATACACTCGCGACACAGCCAATTTTGTCAATCTTCGAGGCGATATTCGCCGTAAAAAGCGGAACGTGGCAGATTTGTTAGTTAGAAGCGAGAGAAACAACTGTCTTCCATTCTATCTCATAATCTCTGTCCTCTCAAGAGTCGAAGCTCAACTTTTGCTGCTCCACAGAGCCTATGCTCCTTTCATAGATAAGAATATCGGGTTGTATGGAAAGAGCATGCCAAAAACGGTAATAGTGAAACAATCCTTGTCTCCAAAATATTTTCCTTTTTTCAGGTATTCGAGATCGCCTTCAGAATCTTTGTCATCACAAATGCCGAAACTTGTAGCAAGTTGCCTTTGAACCCTGAAATTGAAGGATTGCTCAAACAACTCAACACTGAGACTCGTATTCATATTCAACGATTCTACGAGGACTACGAGGAGGAATGCGAGAAATTCTACACTGAGCCAGTTCCGGTCGATTTGGAGAACGATACCAATCAATTCCCATATCAAGTGGACGTTGATGACTTCCCGGAGGATCTCGCTGACTTTGTCACTCCAATGATAACTCACTTGTACTGGGAACAGTATGAGTTAGATCGGTTGAATGAGGACTATGCGTTTGTCAAGCAGGGTTACTTTGATTGGCCAAAAGCAGCGTAAGTGATGCATAAACATGTTATAATGGGAACAATCAAATTTTCAGAGGTACTGCCCCGTTCACAATAAACAAGCATAGACCGGCGATACATGCGTTCGACTGTAATTTCTCGCAAGTCTATAGCCAAAATATCTGTGAGCGAGTTCAAAAGAGCCACTGCATCAAAGCCATCAATCGTATTGCCTCTGATGCTTTTTGGGGAAACGAAATCATCAAATCTTGTGAACAAGCTATCGAAGAAGCCAAATGTGTTCCGTCGATCTCTGAAATCAATCAGGAATTTGCTACCACTTTCAAAGCCGCGATTGGTGAGAAGGTTCTAGATGGAATGGATGTAGTTGAAGTGACGAATATGATCGGAGAAATTGTACATGCTCACATATCTGCGAGTGCACTTCGTACCAAGTATCCAAGCCCGAAAGGAGAAATAGGAACTGCACAAACAGCAAAAAACATAGCGAAGGAAGTTCTTCAGACATTTTTGGACTACGTCAAAACTCAGGAGGCAATGGTCGCCAAAAAATTGTCAGCTCCGAAGACAAAGGTAGAGGCTGTAGGAGCAGCTCGTGCTGCTCAAAAGTCAATAATCGATCGATTGGATCTACTACACCGCCAACTTGTCGCTCAAGCCACCGGTACTCGACTTCCAGAAAATATTATTTCGGAAAGCAGTGACGAAGCTACCAGCAGCGAAGCTTCCGATAATGGAATTGATGACGACGACACGTTCTACCCTGTGCCCGATCCAACTTTGGATTTGTTCTTTGACGCCCTCAATCAAGCACCGTTGTCTCACAAGGAATTCGGAGAAATCATGGCTAGTGGAATGTTTGGAAGTGAGGTCCCACCAGAGATGGTCAATGCTTTCCTTGCTCGAGTCATCAAAGTCACCTACTGCTGGGCTTCATTTGATATATCGGATATGACCAACCCAATCTACAACGTTCCACTCGATTAATTGTCAACTTCTTGTCAATTTTTTGAAACTGTTTTTTTCTCGCAATGTTTCTGATCCCATCGGCATGTAACAGTACTATCTGTCAAATGAGACAGTCTTCTCAGCACTAGCCTAACAAAGTCCCAGTTATACGTCAGTATCCCATCTACTTTATCAATTTCTTGTCAATTTAAGTACACTCGTTTGCTTTATATATGACGTTTATATTTTTCCATTTTTGCATTTTGATTTATCACTGGGAAAAATTATCGTGCAATGGTCGCTTGTCGCTTTTTCAATTTTTTTATCCACTGGTTTAAAACCTCTGAACTATCTTTAATATTCTTCAAACATTTATTTCAATATTTAAATAACTTTCTTTTTCAGATTGAACATGTATTTAAATACACCTCAGGACGAGAACGCGCTTGAGGAAATGAGAAAGCGAAGAATTTTAGCCGCCGTTCAGAAATCCAAGAATGACTGCGACGGTGGTACTATAAGTGCGGAGGAACTCGAAAAGCTGGAAACATCACAAAATCAAGAACAACCTCCACAGTTTCAATCTTACGCCGAATTTCGACAATGGTCTCAGGCTAACCAGGCCCGTCACACGGTCAGTTAAATTTGATTTAAGTTTAAAAATAACACTTTCGATAAATTTTCCAGATCATTGCGGATCAGTCGCGTTACGTTGTGGAAGGATACGCTTTGAGACGGCGCGAAATGAACGAAGAAATCAGTGAGCTCACCAAAGAGTTCTTCTCTGCTACTAACGCCATATCGAAAAGAGATCATCTCCAACTGGTCAACTTGTTTGGTATCTACACAGGTCTTTACGGAGCGATAGTGGATACTACTGAAAGGGATTTCAAACAAGGCGAATATTCCTTTATAAACTGCGATGCTTTCGAAGCATTTGAAAATTTCTTACCCAAATTGGAGGAATGTTTCCGCACAGGTGCACCAGTGGAACCCCAACTTTTTGGGGAGCTCTTGGAAATTCGCGATTCTGTGACGGACGCCATTCGTGACCACCATCAGGTTGCAGCACCCATGCATTCGGCGGAAGAAGTTGTTGTCGGAAGACACGTTCGTGATCGCTACCAACCATTCGATACTGATTGGCTTTGTACTACAGACCGCACGGATCGGTGAGTTCGAGAATTTCTGAAATTCGAATCATTTATTTCTTTTCTTTTTCAGAATGCTTCTTCCCTACATGGAACAACTATGGAGCTCTCGAATGCAACACTCATCACTAGCCAGAGCTCGTCTCGATTTAATTGCCGAAAACAGAGCCAAGGGCGTTAACTTTGTGAAAAACCTCGTTATCAATGATTTTCAAAACAAAAAGAACGGAAAAGCAGTTCAAGCCTTTTTGAATAAAAATCTTTGTAATCAGCGCGGAAATTTCATTAAAACGTACCTCACCCTCCGAGGAAATGAGAAAAGAGATGGACTATTGAGATTTGTACTGGCACAGGAGCAATTCAATCAGATGGCCGATATGGTACGTCAGAAAAAAGCAGCATTGCATCGGAATTTGGACAAATGCAAAGATAGAGACTTTCAACGAAAACTTTATTTGATGGGTGCTATCTCAAATATTGAAGCCCAAATGCTTGTTATCCACAAAATCTGGGCTTTGTACATTGACAAAGAGAAAGGCTTATTTGGAATAGCTCCTACAGACAGAGTGAGTTATTCAGAAAATAGTTGTTTTGCAGTTCCACGAAAATATTTTTAGGTTCTCAAAGCTTTGCGTGACCTCATCAGAGCAACCGTGGAGAATAACTGCCTAAGCGTCGGGGTCAAAAGGATTATTTACCAGAAGACGGATCGTCTTCGTAAAGCGCTTCACAGGGATGCTCGCACCTACTACCATGAGCAAGAAGCTTCGAGCAGTCAACACTTCAACGAAGCTCCCGAACACGAAGTTTTGCTTAATGACGACAACGATGATCAGGTCACTCATCGAGCAGTTCTCTCCGACGACTATCCTGTTGATTTGGCTAACAAATTGGCTAGAAACCTGTGGTATTCAAAGACTGAGAACATGCGTATGGAGGAGCAGATTTATCTTGCAAAGTATGCAAAAAGACAAGAATGGCGAGAACCTCGGTGAGTAGTAGTTTCTGAACAATTTTGATTCAATATTATTATTTTTCAGAAGTGATCAGAATTACATTATAAATTCTTGCACTGGAACCTTTGCTTTCTACTCAAATGCTTCAGAATTTGTGGATGAGGAAGAACTAAGAGCCATTCTTACATCACTAGAGGCTTGCACTTCGATCGACTGTTCAGAAGAAATACTTGGAACGACTGTAATAGAGCAAATCGATTATGCATTTGAATTAAACAGAGCAGTTCCTCTTCGTGACGATCTTCGCGTCTTGTTGGAACAAGAATTCGTCGTACAGCTCCAGAATCAGCTTGTCGAGGGAAAGGATGCTAGGCAAATTGCAAGAGATTACTACCAAATACTCAGCTTGTACATAGCCGCTACTCGCTCCAGAAAGCGTTTCCCACAGTACACGTCAGATGAAGTTACATTGGATATTGTTCGTGAAGTGGTGGACACGCATATGGACTATCTCGAAGAATTGATGGAAACCCCGCCGAAAAGACTACGCCCTTTATCACTTTCTCCAAGCGATGGCGAATTTGAGATTGTACATGCGGAAGGCAATCTTCCAGGTCCCGGTTCATCCCAATGAATCGGGCTTTCTAATTGTTGTATGTATCTTTTTTTCATATTATTGTTCCGTTTTCAGGAACCTTTTCTTTTTACTCTTTTTCATTCCCCCTCTCCCCCGAGCTGGTTCTATTGACTTCTAATTCCATAATTTTTTCTTCAAGTTCTCAAAATGATCTTTTTCCTTGCCTGAACAAGTTCTAGCTATGGTTCTCTCCCAACCCCCCCCCTTTTTTTCCGATGTTCTCGACTCGATCGCAGACGAAGATTTTATTTGGCATGCGTTATAGTATGTTCCTGCTTCTTGTTCGAAGTCCCCCCCCCCCCCCCC